AGTTATGGCTGCAGATTTCTGTGCGTGCCACAAAGAATTAATTGTGCAATCATCCTGCACTCGTCATCAGTGGGAGAGTTTACAAAAGTCACCTCTTAACTTTTAAAAGTTATTCCTCTTCCAACAATGTTCTTTAGTTTATGAAATGTGGCCAGCCACCTTACTTAATGACCTGGTCGTCAGCAGTTTTAGAAAGATTATTGCCTTTGTATTTCACACAGCACATTTGCGTATAACCAAAACAATCTAAAAAGAAACCACAAATTGTAAAGTCCTGACCACGTAATTTTTAAGTTAATAGGAAACATGAAACTTTTACATTTAGTGAAGTAACTTTCCAGGTGTCCCTGTTTTTCTAATAAACAGTTACTGTTTAGTAAAAAAAAAAAAAAAAATCAATATAAAAAGAAAGCAAAACCAACACTTCAGTAATTTCAGCAGCAAAAGCATGGAGCACTCTCGTTAGGGTAAGGCTGCTCCAAGTCATCTGTGTCTTCTGCAGCAGACTCGGGCTCACGCCTCCCTGTTGGTTCTGCTTAAGCTCAGCACAAATTGCACATGCTTAATCTGTGTAAATCAGACCTCTTATTGACGTCCCTACATCAAGAATTGACTTGCAAAGCTTCCAGTGACAGCAGCCCCACAGGAGAAGTCCGCTTCATAAAGGCACAGGGAACAGATAAGTGTTGAGTTGAACTTTAGTGTCTGATAATCCCAGCAGCTTTTGAAACTAACCAGTAATCATTAAATAAATACTATTTTGGAATGAATAAAAAATAAAAAGCTTTTCAGGCTAAAATGCATAAGCCATAATTGGGATGATTTTGACAGATACATCAGTCCTGAAAATTAAAGGTAGAATGCGGGAACTGGGTTACCTGTGCAGAAGGGCATGTGATTATTGAATTCTGATGATATTACTCTTTATCCAGCTTTGTAGAGCGCACACAGTTTGGCTCTGTCATTTCTGACAGCTTTTGATTGCCTGTTCTGTGCGTTGCTCACTTCAGCCAAGGTAGAAATGCCACCTGGTTAGAGTCTAGTTTGCAGGAGTCTTATGGCAAAAAACCCCTAAATGTGCAGGGGAGAGGTTTTAGAAATAAGATCAGGTATGTATATGTGTATATCATGATGTGTATGTTGCAGATATTTTTCCATTTACAAAACGGGAAGTTGGTGTTTATGAATGTCAATGTGTATTGGAATGACTTGGCTGGCAGGTAGGCGCCCCTTCCTGGGGCGAACCGGAGGGGCTCAGGCATGTGTGATGGGCCTTCTGCAGCTGCTCGGGCTTTGGGACGGGAGAAGCCAAAGGCCGGTCTCTGCTGCTGCGCCCGGGAAGTTCTGCCTGGCAAAAACATCACCATGGTGATACCAGAAAGTTTTAGGGAATCGAGCTTTGTTGTAGTGGTGAGGCAAAACGGAGACCTGCGCTTGGGTAAGCCTGACACCCTGTGTCACGCTAAAAGGGTCAGAAGAGGAGCAAATAGGTCATCTCGAATGAGAACAAAACCAAGATTTATTTTAATTCTTTTAATTCTTTTTTTTTTCCTAGCTGGTCTGAAAGACTCTGAGGAAACATTGCCGAATCAGGAGGAATCTCAGCAGCTTTCAAAATCTAGTCGGACTGGTTTGCTGTCAGCCTGGCTGGATCTCTGGCGGCTTATGTGGAGGGCTTCTCTGGAGCTTGGACCTCCAGCACCTGCGGCTGCGTGGGCAGCCTGGCCGGCCAGGCACCGAGCACGTGGGGGTTACAGAGCCTCCCATAGGGTATCTCTAGGGCTCCAGGATTTGTGAAAGACACTGCAAAGTTTGGGATTTTTTTTCTCCAAATTGGAATAAAAATAAACTTGCAAGAATCAAAACACTTTGCGATCTGGCAGGGCTGTATCTGCGGAGGTCACCTGAGAGACGGTGGGAAGTTTCCTACGGAAGGCGGGCGCCGAGCGCTGTCCCCGGGGCTGCTCTGGAGCCCCCGAGGCAAGCGGCGGGCAGTGCATTTACAGCAGCGAAGTGTTACAGGGCCGTAGATGCCGTGTAAGGAATTTCTCCATGGTTTCAGCCGTAGCTTTTGGAGGAAATAATTTAATAACCCTGTTCTTTAGAAGTATTTGCAGTTGAGGTACCTCATGTAACAGAGCTGATTCCTCAGCTGGCTAGCGGAGGCAGCGGAGCTGTGAGATGTAACAGCTCGGGGAACTGTCCCCTTGGTTTTCTATAGGTGTGTTGCAGAAGTGAAACCAGCTGAGTCTACATGTTGAGCTTGCTTGTTTATTTGAGTAATTTTGGAAACATTGCCATTCCTGACACTGCAGCTGTGTTTTTGAGGTCAGTAGGAGCAGGACATTGACATGTACAGCAGTAAAAGCGTGATGTTGTGGCAGAGACGTTTAATCTGGCCTTGCAGGAATTCATAGATTGAAGTGGAAAGCACCATTAACTCTTGCATCAGGAGGATGCAGTCTCGGTTGTGTCTGCAGTGCTGTAGACATACCCACGCACTTTTAAAGAATGAAGAGTAAGTTTACTTTCAGAGTCTGTGTGTGTACACATACATGTAAATAATATATTTTCTTAGCTCCTCCATCTCTTGGAGAATCTCATCGTTGCCGGTACCCACAGCAGCACTAGGTTAGCTGGCTGCATTGGTGCAAGGTTCCCCTATAGCAGAGCCCTGCCGGTGCAAAGAGCGTGGACCCGCTCCGTGCTGCTGGGCGCCTCCGTCACCCCAGCACACAGCCGCAGCTGCTCGGAGGAAGGGCTTTTCCTCGCAGGGACGCTGGGAAGGAAAAACTCACTTTTAATTTTGGGGCTGCCGTTCTCGAGCTTCAGAAAACATTTGAACATTTTGCAGAAAGATGGTTCCTGAGACGCGGTCAGGCGGAGAAAGTCTTTGGTGGTGTTTGGCTGGTTTATGTCTTACTTGATTCTCATTGTGCTTTCGGATAGATCCCAGTCATCCTGTCTCACTTCTGTTATGTGTGTTTACCTGTGATACCGCGGGCAATGGCCCAGCTGCGCTTCTGAACGCCTGTGGCCATTTGAGTACCTCTTCTACATGTTTCTTCATCTCTGGAAACAAAGCAGAGGTTCTCAGAAACAGCCTTGTCCCACCTAGGAGGGTGCAGGGAAACTCCTGGCAAGTAAAACCTGTGGTGACTTAATTCAGAAGGGAATATAGGGCTGAAGTGGGTGCGGGTGAAGAAAAAGGCTACTTGATCACTTTATAAAGCTGATGTTGATGTACAGGGGTGATAAATGGACTGTGAAAGAAAAGCTTTATGGCACAAAGTTGAAGGACGCCTCATAGACTGTAATTTCCCTAGGGCAAAGAAGGGCAGCTGTCCTCCTGAGGTCAAAGCACGAGACATTCCCCATGTACACTGGAGCAGGCACGGATGGAGCCTGTGATGTTTGTTGCAGCCAAAAGAGGCAGCGGAAAAACTGAATTACAGTCGTAGCGTAAGCATTTGGGGCTTGAGAGTTTCTGTCAAGTGCAGATGAGGATGTACTTACTCACTTCTGACAGGAGAGGAGAGCTCGGAGAAGGAGCAAATTCTCCCCACCTCTCATCCTGTCCCTGCTCTGCGGGTAGCACTGGTTACCAAGCGGCCTGTCAGCGGGGAGCGATGAGGCTTGCCCAAAACGCGCTTGGCAGCGGCAGCCGGGAGCAGGGCGAGTGGCCGCGCCAAGCCCCAGCACCTCCGGCGGAGGGGCAGCGGGCAGAGCCTCACCCTCCGCCCCGCAACCTTTAACAGCCTTCCCGGAGGCGCGTAGTTGTTCCTCTAAAGGAAGGGGAGTAGTTGGCCCGACTACTTTAATAATAGGCGCAAGAAACATCAAAGCCTTCCTTTAAAAAAAAAATAAATAAAATAAGCAACAAAAAGCCTGACCGGAGCTGCTTTTTCTTCCCGGCTCCGGGCTGCCCCCCCCTTCCCCCCCTCCTCCCCCGGGGGTGAGGCACCGCGGCAGGCGGCGGGGTCGGCGGGCCCGGTGGGGGGGGGCCGCCCGCGCGCTCGCGG